GTAGTAATACATGTATTTAAATTATAAAGTAGATAAACCAGATACAATCATACTTTTAGACTGTAAAATAAATCAACAGAGAACAATGTCCAGTTCGGGCTCCATTAGCAATCCGTAATTAATTATGCACATTTATTTAATTTGTACAAAATACAGTATTATCATTTATTCAAACTTCAATTCCATTATAGAAATAAGGGTGATGGGTTCTTACTTGGTTGACGCCGAAAAACTAAATGGTTTACTGCTCCTGTTGGCGGTCTTTAGGTTCCCTAAATTTTTCTTTGGGAACTGAAACGCGCTTACGATACCTATAAATATCCCAAATAACCCAAAAATCAGTCTCAATGCCTACTCGACCAATTTTAGAAATTCGGCACGGCAGCTCTGTCGTTTGCGGTGGTGATCCGCCTCGGGTTGGCTGTTTTCAGCCGAATTCAGCCAAATCTGCATAAGTTCGTGTGAGAAAACATATTTAGGGCCCTCGGTTGGCCGAAAAACTTAGAAAACTGAAACTCACCGGCGACGGGGCTCTCTGGTGTGGCGGCTCCTCCGACTCACGTTGCGGTTGGACATTTTGCTTCGGTCAACCTGTAGAGGAGAAAACGGTGATCACAACGGTGAAAAAATCACATCGAACGAGAATCATTAAGGGCATCATCGGAGGCATTTTTTGAAATACCCTGCAGCGGAGCTGCTGGGCTTTGCCAGCATTTTTTGGCCAATCGGCCGGTCCTTTTATTCTGATTTGGTCATGGGTGAGATTTTTATCTCGTTTGGCGGTCAGAAATTTCTCCGGTGCGACGGCAGGTAGCGATAGTCAGCTCCCCAGCGGCTGGCCTGTCTTCTCCGGTTAGGGGTTCTAGCGGCTAAGGTTAGGGTTTGGGTGCAGATGAGATTATTTATACCCATCCACTTTTGATATGGACTGTCCATCGTTTTTTATCTAAACTATCCGATCGCAATTAAATAGGAAATGAATCTGGACCGTTCATTGCGATTCAATCTGGTCCATTCGTGCACGATTCAATTTGGGCCATCTGTGCATGATTCAATCTAGGCTGTCCGTGCGCGCTTCCAATCTTTGCCATCTGTGCGCACGGGAACGAACCTCAGCCGTTCAATCGCGCGTGCGGGGATCGCCCACGTGACTCCCCCCGTGTGGCCTCCCGCGTCAGCGTCTCTACCATCTGGCGCGTCCTGGTTGGTCGAGGCTGCTGACCGGGCATCTGATGTGGCAAAATTTTTTTAAATTATATTTTGACCTCCGATTTCTGATTTTCTTTCAAAAATACCACAAGAACCTAAATTTTTACATCTTTTTCTCAAAATTATTTTCAATTTAATCATTAACAAATTTTTACTCATTTTTTCATTAAATTAAAATAAGTTAAATAAATAAATAACTATATTAAAAAAATAAAAATAAAAGAAATTATTGGGTGTTACAATTTTTAAAAAAACAAAGTTATTAAAAGAATAGAAAATTAAATATTATATATAATTATTTTCTTTTCTTATATAAACAAGTCAATGTTTTAGAAAAATATGCTTAAATCTAATTTTTAAAATTCTCTATATTGAGTGTACATATATCATTTATATTTGATGCAGAAACAAGTCAATGCTTATCTTTGATTTGTTAATGAAATATGATTTTGTTCAACTATTGAGATATTCTGACTAAGGGTTCATGCATTACTTTTTAATTTTACTAAATTGAGAAAAAAAAATCAATATTGAATTATTATTATTATAATTTTACTAAAATAAATCACCATGGAAGCTCGTAAAGTTTTCATTATCATTTTCTAACATATCCGATATGATTTCTATAGATAAAAACAAGATTTTTCTGATCTCTTTCAAATTAAGTAGATCTTAAATACAAGATAGTGCTAAGCATACTCAATATTGAAGATAACCAGTCTATAAATAGTGTTTATATCAACAGCTTCTTGGAACAAAAAAGAAAAACTTCAACTTGTATGCAACTACTTCGTCGACCAAGCTAATAAAACAAAATGGAGGGTGTAATGTTTAAGTCGACATTGCTACTAATCTTGGTGGTTTTTACTTCATGTAAGTCTTTCTATCTTTAATGATATGTTTTTCTTATTATCAATTTTTTTTATCCATCAACGATCATATTAGTTTTATTTGAACAAGAAAAATTTGTTTCAACTTTAAAACGGGGCTAATGAGATACTATTAAATTGATTGTAGGTATGCCCATCTTAATATCTTCTTGCCATGACAATAGTGATTGCAACAACTTATGCTCGCCTGCATGTGAAATCAAGACTTGTGGTAAAGAAAAATGTCGTTGTGGAATTTGTGGTAGTTGTCGTGTGGACGGGGATTGTGGAAAGGCATGCCCTCATACGTGTTCAACCTCGACTTGTGATAACGGTGCATGTTATTGTGATGGTTGTACTTAAAAGAGTTCAAGAGCAAATATGTTCACTTTTATTTGCTAATAAAAAAAAAATTAAATATAAAATATATATTCACTTAAGAAGAAAAGTACAATACAACAATTTCTCACTTCACGAAACACCACAAGCTTTTCTTTTCCCTTTCTTGTACAAACCTAAAATTGACAATACGGAAATCAACTCAATCAAGAAAAA